CGTTGTGTCTAACAAGTCACATGTAATGTAATGTTGTTGATGGTCACGTGTGTTTATGTTTTAATCTGAGTGTTTTCTTCTCCCTTCAGGACTTCGGGGACTACCAGGACGGGTATTACTCTGTGCAGACCACTGAGGGGGAGCAGATCGCTCAGCTTATTGCCGGCTACATCGACATCATCCTCAAAAAGGTAACAGTCAGCTTTATTTTGGGACCAGCGTTAGGGATTCAAATCGTCAATTTGGTTTAATTGTATTTTCTATATCATGGACGCCCCTCTTCAGTCTTCTCCTCATCAGTTTCCCATCAGACAGAAACATGTATTACCTTAACAAATGTTTTGTCAAGCTGTCATGAGGTGGATTTCTTAATGTAGAAAAAGTTTGTAACAGTATCTAGTAGCTGTTTGAAATTAAATCCTACTTAATAATATTAATGATAATGTAGTTGAAAGCCCTTCAGCTATACATCTTACTGTATCTAATACCAAAGGGACGCTTTGTTTTAATCAACCATTACACCTCTTTCGTAGACAGGAGAGATATCATGTATTAAACAAGTGTTTGAAACATTATTAAGACTATTTGATATTCACCCTTAGAACATTTGAGCCAAGGGATATGATGTCATTAATATCTCTCAGATGAGGTTGTAAATTAGGATCTCTATCTTATCTTGTGAGTTCTTGCTGAAAACAGCCTTGCTCTTACATATTCATTACCCTTTTATTAGAAACAGTTGTTAAGATATCTAAATTAGTTTATTAAGTTTTATTTTAGCCTCTCTTGAATTAGGATTCCTTAAAAATGACATTTTCTATCATCCATTGTTGTCTCTTCACAGAAAAAGAGCAAAGACCACTTTGGCCTGGAGGGAGATGAAGAGTCCACCATGCTGGAAGACTCTGTGTCACCCAAAAAGTAAGTGTGTGTGTGTGTGTGTGTGTGTGTGTGTGTGTGTGTGTGTGTGTGTGTGTGTGTGTGTGTGTGTGTGTGTGTGTGTGTGTGTGTGTGTGTGTGTGTGTGTGTGTGTGTGGGTGGGGGTGTGTGTGTGTGTTATTTAAAGCCATTTAAAATAATTTCTGTCTAACTTACAGTATTCTAAGTGTGTGTGTGCATTTGATCTGGATTCAGCTCTGTATCTACTGAGAGGACTGACTGGAGCACAAAGGATGCTTCAGTCTGACTTTATTGAATCTCCATTAGACGGTAGCAGTTCAGATTCTCTGTTCAGAACATGCTTTGGTTCCCAGATGACGTTGTTGGAAAGCCTCTCAGGTTATTATGGTATGCTGAGTCATAAAGTCTCTGACAGGGTGGACCAACATCTTTGAGCAGATTTTTAACAGGTGGAGCAGTTTTAATTTTAAAGCTGTTAACACTTTAAAAACATATAGTCTTATTGTCTGATTGCCTTTATCTCTGTTAAATTGTATTTGTAGTCTTGTATGTATGAGACATATGTTAAGGATTTACATATTAGCTCTGTATTTACTGAGAGGATTGACTGGAGCACAAAGGATGCAGCCTCTCTTCTCATCTTCCGTGTACCCTCCACAGGTCCACGGTGCTGCAGCAGCAGTTCAACCGGGTGGGGAAGGTGGAGACGGGCTCCGTGGCTCTGCCGGCCATCATGAGGTCCGGAGCCGGGGGGCCAGAGAGTTTCCAGAGGGGCTCCATGCCTCAGGCCAAGCAGCACATCACCAGCGGACAGATGCACCGAGGACACATGCCCCCTCTGGTAAAACAAACATGACTTCCACTGACAGGAAGTCATAAGAATAGATTACATTTGTATAGCGGGGACCCACATGCTGTGAATAATGTAAATATTATATATATATTTTTTTTAATGTTATTATAGTGTTCTTAAAATAGTTCTCTATCTGTGTTCTCAATTTTTATGCTTGACGACATCAAGTCAAATTCCTCGTACGTGTCAAACCTGTTTCTGAATCTTCTGAATCTGAACAAACAAACAAACAAACAAACAAGAGGGGCAAATAATAAAGTAATACATTAAATACAAATATAACAAATAGCAGTAGGAGTGGAAGCAGTGGGACTGTGATGGGTTAGGGGTCAAAGGCCATGGTGAACAGGTGAGTTTTTAATGATGACTTGAAGATGTCCAGGGTTTCTAGATGTCTTCCACTGACAGGAAGTGGCTTGCGGTATTGAGAGACAGACATTTACATCGTTGTACATACCAACTATGTGCAATATATATATATATATATATATATATATATATGCCGTTAATAACTGTGCAATACATACCTGCTGCTTTATCTTCAGAACTGTTACAGGATGGGTATTTTGTAAATTGTGTAATTTTTATAATTTTTTTATCTTTAATATTTGTTGTGCATGCTTCTTATGTAACATTAAAAGGGACCTATCATACAAAATGCACTTTTTGATGTCTTTTATACATAAAGATGTGTCCCCGGTGTGTCGGGAACTCACAAAGTGTCAGAAAACAAAACCCTCTCTCTTTTCCTCCGTACCCACATCTTTAAAAACGGGGGAACAACGGAGCTGATCCAGATTTGCGTCCGATATGACGTAATATCTGAAATGCGGACCCACGGCTTGATGTCTAAAATGCATGATCTGTTTTGTATTTTGAGCAAAAAACATCATAGACATGTTTTTATATCTTTTTATATATCTGAGACCCATAATATATGCCTAAAAATAGCATGATAGGAGACCTTTAAGCTGGCTCTTTTCTGCTGTAACTATGCAACTGTCCCCTCTGTGGGACTAACAAAGGTATTCTGATTCTGATTGGTTGTGTGTGTCCACAGACTTCAGCTCAGCAGGCTCTGACAGGAACCATCAACTGCAGCATGCAGGCGGTGCAGGCGGCCCAGGCCTCTCTGGACGACTTCGACACGCTGCCCCCCCTGGGAACTGACGCTGTGAGAGTTCACTTCCTTTTCTGCTAATATAATAACAGTATGATATCTACATCTGTGTGACCAGAGGATTTATTTTTCCTCCCTTTTTTTAAAGGCATCCCAAGCCTGGCGTAAAAACAAAATGGATGAGTCCAAACATGAGATCCACTCCCAGGTGGATGCCATCACAGCCGGCACAGCATCCATGGTGAACCTGACTGCAGGTAAACACTGTTCAGCTCCACGCTCTCTCCTCAGTATTTGTAATACCAGTGACGTGGACCCCCACCATGTTTTCTCCTGACACACTGCTTAAATGTTTACCATTATCCACATGTTGGTCCGGATTATTTGTTTTAAATTCTCATTATCAATTCACAGCTTCATAGTTTCTTCTTGCTTTCTTGAAAAAATAGTTTTTCCAGGCCACAGTACATTAGACTTGACATGCAGGCGTCCTCTCTTCTTCAAAACTGTTCGGATTGCTCTGGCCTCGTCATCCCTTCTGCGGTGAGGTCCATTTTTAGGAAGCTACTCACTAGTATCAGAGCCAGAGGGGCACACCTGATAGAGCTAGCTTAAATGTACCATTCAATAAGGAGGCTCTACAATGACCAGTCTATTGCCCCATCACCCCAGTCCTCAAAAACCTCCACTCTTCCTGTCTCCCATCGCATCAACTACAAAATTCTGGTCCTCACCTACAATGCACTCCACCATCTGGCCCCTCCTTATCTCACACACCTTCTCACTCCTTATCAACCCCCACGGTCCCTCAGATCCACCGCAGCCGGACTCCTATCCATTCCCACATCCACACTCTGCAGCTTTGGGGACAGAGCCTTCTCAGTGGCAGCTCCTAGGCTCTGGAATTCCCTCCCCCAAGATCTCCGTGACTCTGAGTCCCTCACACTCTTTCAGTTCCGCCTCAAAACACATATTTTCAACTCTGTCTACCCATAAGCCCCCCCCCACCTCTCAATCAACTTCCTCTTGACTGCCTTTTTTTTGTTGTTTATTTTATTTTACTATAGTTATTTGTTTGCCTGTCTTTATTTGTCTACCCTCCCTCATACTGTAAAGCGTCTTTGAGTTGTGAAAAGCCCTATATAAATAAAATGTATTATTATTAGTATTACTATCAGCTGATCAGAGGCCTCTAAGTGACAAAGAATCGAGAATGAATAAACATAAAGTAAAGTAATAGTCTTCCTGACTGAAATCACACCTTAGCTTCATAAGTCTTCCTCAGTGTTTAGGTTGTGCTGATGTGTTTACCTCTGCCTGCTCTCAGGCACCTGTCACACACTGATTGACTTCAGTGCAGAGGTATTTTCTCATGAATGTTCTCCTCAGACAGGAAACCTATGGTGGCAGTGGACAAGCTGAACATCTCTCATCCGCCTTCTTCATTACCTTCTTCAATTTAAAATACTTGGTCTTCACACTTTAGCTGTCTGTTTCTTTTCTGATTTCATATTTGCTTTGCACTGTTCCTGTTGCACACTTGTCCATTATGCATTGTTATTGACTTTGGTGGACAGGAAAGTCCCTTGAAACATGGTCAAAGTTTATGTTTTCACTGGTATACTAGTCCAAATGCTGTATTTAATTTTCGATCTTGACCAACGTTTTTCTTTCTCTGCCTGCTAGTTGCATTCTCCGGACTTGGCTTCACCTCCTTCTACCTGGCGGGGAAGCTGCAGTGTTTTACGGATAAAGGTCGAGGGCGTAGCTGGCGTCTCTGTGCTATGGTGCTGCCTCTCTACAGCGCCATGATGATTGCATTATCCCGGACCTGCGACTACAAACACCACTGGCAAGGTACGCAAAGCAGCTAAAATAGGGGACACAAGAAAATGATTGCGATGCTAACATTTAAATGACTATCAAAAAAAAAGTTATGTGGTAAAATATCTGCTTCTGTCAGCCGATTGCTGTTCGGAAAACTGTTTTCAATCACACCTGGCCCAAGGCACTTTAGGAATTATTATACAGATAATGTAAAAAGCATTCTCGGGGTGATGCTGATTTTAGAAAAGCTTTGCCACTGTAAAAAACACTTAAAAAAGAAGGGAACAGTTTATCCGGTCAGGCAGCTTGGTTATTCACACAACTCACTCAAATATTTGTCCTATGAACCTGTTTTCTGTCGCCTATAGTATGATTTTTGATATCCTTAAAAGTGCCTCAGATTACAGTGAGGTGGCATTTCATTCAGCATCCTGGAAAAACCTTATAATTACACACCTCAGTTCTCATTCATAACACTCCGGGAACATATGGCTCTCTAAAACTAATTAACACCATATGACAGAGCTGCCATCATATTACCATATCTTCTCACCCACTCATCACACACAAATGCAGCGCCTTCCCCCTGTCCCCCCCCCAACTCCCCTTCCACTCCTTTCAGACCAGATATGCAAAACTATAGGTTACTAACGTAACCGCAGTTCTCAGAGTAACATGAAGTGAGATGTCTCACTATGGGATGCGCCTCCCCACATATGCCTCAGAAGCATCAATCTCATTATTCCAATTCTGATTGGCTGGTGATCTTGACGACCACGTCAGGGAATCCACCCACCCTTTAAGTAGCTTGCGCTACGACGCAGCGTCATTCAAACACCTCTTCTCACTTCGGAGCACATCTCTAAACTATCAGTAGCCTGGCTAGCTTAACCGTCCACAGACTGAACAACTCAAAGCTAACTTTCGGTTGCCGGACTCTTGCCGGCTACACTTGCTTCGCACAGATTTGAATAATTAACACACCAGTTAATACTCGACTCTGCCCCGCCGTTTTTATTTAACGGTAAGGTTTTTGATTATCGAACATTAACATACATGGGCGTAGGAAGCATCCCGAATGTGTGGGGGACATTTTTAACGGGGGGTGTGGGGTTCCCCCACCACGAAAAAAAAAAATAGATTTCCTGTATTCTGGTGCATTTTAGGTGGTTTGATACTTTTATGTGGCTATACTAGCATGAGGAAAATTATGGGTACATTTTGTAATTTCATTCAGTAGTAAAGAAAGGAAACATATTTGATTATTAATTCAGAGCCGTCTTTGAATCAATAAAAAGCAGTTTAAATGCCTGTTTTTTTTAACATTTATATACAACAATAAATATTTTTGAGTGCATTGAGAGATATTGTTGTGGAGAGTCATTTATATATAAATCGCAAAATACATTTGTGAATCCTTCTGTGAGCATTTATTAATATTGAGACTGATCTGACTCCATACAGATGTTAAGTTCACCTAGGAATTGTATCATTGACTTAAATGTTCGAATAAATGTTGCTCTTCTGTCTATATTGGTCATATGATGCCCCTTGACTGAAATGTTTCCTGTTCAATATCCCCACTGATTTCCTTAAAATTCTGGGATGAGAGTCCACATCACAATTTACTCTTAACTGTCATTTCCCTTTCATCACTCACCTCAGCAATGGACCTCTCTCCACTGTCCCTGTATTCTGCCTCTAACTCACTCTCAAGCGCCTAGATGTCAAGAGAGTTGGTGAAGTGATAATTATTTATTG